TTCCGGACTTCTTATTAGAGAACTAGTCTCCCCCAGAAGGCCTGGTTGTTGCTGTGCTGCTTCCTGATACCAGCACCAAAGCAGGTGTGCAGGCGGGACCAAGGTCCGTGGGAAACCAAGGCCAAAGGCTAACCGGTCAGCCACGGACAGATTTATGAAGCAGGAAGATTTCATACTCCCTCACTCCCCTCCCCCAAACAAAACCTGCGGTCCAGGACCTTCTGCTGCTAGCTGCTTTGTCCATTAGGCTATGGTGGAAGGCAGCCTGGCAAATTAACTCTGATTCGAGTATTCTTTCCTTTGATCAATCTTGCAACTAATACTTGTGGAGTGTCCACGATGAACATAAGCACGTTATTTGCCCTGGAGGCACTGGCACCCTAAAAGTATCTTACATTTTCTTAGCTTAGTTCCTTCTAGTCCATGAAATAAAACATGTGAAAAGTTCAGAAGAGTTTCTGACCCTAAAAAGCACTCAATCAGTGTTGGCTGCTATTCATTCATTGGTTTTAACCTATTGAGTAGCTGCCATGTGCCCAGCACTGTTCTAGGGCTGGAGGAACAGAGAAAACAAAATAGACCAAGAGGTGAGACGAGCCATAAACACTTGGCTTGTGTCTCAGTTAACCCCTAGACTCAAGACCTAGAGCATTCCTGAGAAGTGGGATCTCTATTCCCGTTTCCAGACGTGGAAACCAGGGCTCACATGGATTGTGACGTGTGCAAGACCTAACTATTGGTTAAGCAGAGAGGGATTTTGCATAAATCTTCAGCTCCCTAATCCAGATAAGACAGTCAAGTGAGAGGATTGATACATGTAATTCACAGCAGGCCAGGGAGGAGGCAGCACTGAGCTGGGCTTTGAATGATGGACAGGATTGGGGTGAGCAGGTGGAAAGAGAGGTTTGAGAGGCTGAGAGAAGGCTGTACAAGACCCAGTGGTGGGAACAAGACCTTTTGGGGGGCGATGGTTCTGGCTGGTTGAACTAGAAGGTTTCTCTTGGTCGTTATTTGGGAAGCGTTTGACTTTTCAGCAAGATGGCAAAATCATTAAGTTTAATGATTAAATGTATTAGCCAACTCGCCTTTTAAATGAGCCAGGGTCAATATTTAACCCAAAGGAATGAAAGTCTAAAAGGGATATGAGGCACCAGAG